GGGGAACCCGGGGCGCCCAGGCCCCTTGCCCTGGCCATGCCTTACAGGCCCAGGAGCCGGGTCCAGGGGAGGGCTGGCCAAGCAGGGCCACAGCTCAGGGTTCAGGCTGCTACAGCCCCCAAGGTCTTTCTCCCTCCCTGCTCCCTCTATGCGGAGTCTAAATGCTAAGGCAAACACTAGTCGTTTTTATTGAAGAACATTCTATTTGAGCTTTGTGGTGCAGATGCCCAGAAAGGGCGGGGCAGCCCCATCCAGGCGGGGCATGGGTGCCAGGTGTGTTTGCAGCAGGAGGAAGCGGAGAAGCAGCCCGGGCCGTGGAGCCACCGTCCCCGGGCTCTGCAGCGGCCCACAGATCGGGCCTCCTCCTTCACTCAGGAACAAACAACTGCAGCTTCCCGTCCGCCGTGGCCGTGGCGAGCTGTGATCGAAAAGAGAACACAGGCCTCAGAGCGTGAGACTCGTGAGCACACACGCCCAGCGTGCACGCTTCCCTCCGTGCCCCACTTTCCCGAGCACAGGACAAACACACCGCCGTGTGGTGCCCACACCTGGGTTCCAACTCACAGCACCAGCCCGTCTCACGGCAGGGAGCCCTGCCGGCTGACAAGAGCCGTGTAAGACTACCTCGCCAGACTCAAAACTGCCTTGCAAGATGAGGAATGCCAAGCACAGGAGACTCCATTTTGATAGAGGCCAACAAAATGCTGACTCACCACAGTGAAGTGGACAAGTAGACTAGAGCCCGCCCCAGAAAGCCTGGGGAACCCTATAAGACTGGCTGGGGTCAAACGGCCAGCTGAACTGTCGATGAAAACCCGAGCAGAGAGGCTGGGAATTCAGAGAGCTGGGAACCAAGGAGACATCAGCTCCTACTCTCCCCAACTCTGCCCCGCACCGATGAAGGCAACGCTCGACGGGACTGTGATGCTGAATTGACTGTGTGTTACCCCGATAGTTAATAATTGAGTGAATTTTAGAATTGTTAGATTGTTGGATGTGTGTTTGCAGTGAATGAGCCGAGCATTCGACAATGTCAAAGAGCATTAATTAATTATTGATTGTGCCGCTGCGCCCACCTCGCAATCCCTGCCCCGTCTGAGCCCATCGAGGCAGCCACTGAGTCAGCCCC